CTATTTTTAGAATTGAGCTGCCTTTGAATACCTTCCATACGAGCTATCACTATGTTCTTTCTGTAATGAGTAAATCCAAAAATGTTCCTATTCCACTCCTTTAACAAATGAATAAACGAGTTCACACTCTCCAGCAAGCTAGTTGTATGATTCCAAATTTATTTAAGGAAATGGCTAAATCTGGGATCATTCTGCCAAGTGGTCAAAAATCTAAAAGGCCTCTCTCTCCAACTGGTCTCCTCCTTCTCCATTCTAACAAGGATAAGGCTGTGATCAGAAAAAAGCCTAGGTAGCACTTGGACATCAGCCTCCTCAAAGTCTTCTCTCCATTCATCATTAGGTACTGCTCTATCTAGTCTTTTATAAATTCTGTCTAGACGGAGAAATTTAGGTCCTTTCCAACTGAACCTATTTCCCCCACCCCCACCCCCAGATCCATAACACCACAAGCATCCAACACATTATTAAACCTGATGCAACGATTAAAATCCACTGCCCCCTCCTTTCTTCTCTAAAGCTGAAGTTATTTCATTGAAATCACCAGATAGCATCCATGGGTCATTCATAGTTCTTCCTATATGCTTCAATTCCTCCCATAACACCCTACGATTCCCTTCTTGAGGATTGGCATATACAGCCGTCCAAAAGAAGCCTTTCTTGCCAGGAAATTCCACCCAAACATGGATGAATTGATCATGAGTAACTTGAAGAGAAATCTTCTCATCAATGGGATTCCACCCTATCCAAATCCCACCAGCAAAACCTTTTGCATCAGCAATTATGTAGTTGGAGAATCCCAAGCTACGAATTATGCTAATGGCTTTCTTTCCACTAACTCTAGGCTCTAAGATTGCAGCCACACCAACTTTATGCTTCCTTCGAAATATGTTGAAAGTGCTTTTAAACTGTTTCTTGGCAACACCTCTACAGTTCCAGGTTAGGACATTCATTGAGAAGCTTGGGGTTGTTGCAAGATTCCAGAGTTCTTGCTACTCAAAACTTGAATTTCAACATTAATTTCCTGACTTCCTGCCTCTCCCTCATCACACCCTGAACTACTAACAATCATAGCATTATTAAGGTTAGTACATAGGGAAGATTCCGAGTCCATACCTGATTGAGCTTCCACCATCTTTGCTTCTTCTCCCATAACAAGATCAGGGGGGTCAGGATCCTTTATAGTGTCATCACGATTCAAACTGACATCAGGATAGTTACAAGTAAGATCATCAATGTTACCATCTCTAGAAGAAACTTCTACAGCCATCATCAAATCACCCCATAGGTTGCCCTTTTGCTTCCCGAAAAGAGACTGAGTGGGATTCTGAAAAGGTTTTTGCAAAGAGCTATTGCTTAAACTGAGTTTAGCAGGGGAGCTGATAATAGCTCCTTTTCCTTTAGCACTTTGAGTCTTAACAATACCTTTCTTTGGGATTGGCACAGTTGATTTTGTTCCTGAACTTTTCTTAACAGTAGTAGAAGCCACTGCTGTAAACTTCATCCCCACAGCTAGGGTTTGGCTTTTCTTATCCACTGAGTCATTCTCCTTGTTCACCTTAGAATTAGAAGTACCAGCCTCAGAATTCTTATCAGAAATTTTTTTTTGAGTGGCTTTCTCACTTTTCAACCCTGACTTTGGGCTAACCAGGTTCTTTCTGTTGGATAAATCCTTTCCAAAAGTTCTGTTGTTACCAGTTTCCATTTTCTGGAAATTTCGGGGACCTTTCTTTCTGCGTTGCACTACCATCCAAGGTCCAACACCTTGTGGACCAGGGTTCTCCAATGGTTGTTCCTGAGCTTTTTCAGGTCTGGGTGTCGAGGTTGGCTTAGCAAAATCTGGACAAGAGTCTGAATTGTGACCATATCTCCCACATTTGAGACAAATTAGAAATAGCCCCTCATATTCAACTTTTTTTCTACACCCGTCAAGAATATACTCCCCTCTCAAAGGATTTGAGAGATCAATCTCTATATAGACTCTCGCAAATCTAGCTCTGTCCCCAGTAGAAGTGGTTTTATCCACTTTCAGAACTTTTCCTATTACAGATCCCAAGTGATTAAGGAAACTCAACTCCCAATATTCTTGAGGAATACCTGGTAGCCGAACCCATGCTGCAACCTTATGAATATTGGCTTTGTCCGGATCAAAGCATGGCTCCATTTACTAGTTGCAAGATAATGGCCTAAGATGACCCAGGGACCACCCGTGATGGCTAGGTTTAGATCTTCTAGGCTACTAAACCTTACTGAGTAAAACTCATTTCCAAGATCCGCTACCGTTATGCTTCTCGCCTTAGCCCACAGAGACTCCAATCTTTTCTTCATGAATCTGACCCCAACCTTCTTCCCCAACAACTTCACAATCAGAGCATTCTTCCAGCGCTGGCGCATCCTTGCTCTAGCTTCTTTGTTACTCCTGATTTCCACTGAACCATCCTCCCTTATCACTGTTTGGAATCCCCATTCTGTGATCTCACCCATGCATGGGTCCAAAGGTTCCAGATCTGGTTCTTCCTCTTCGATTATCCAGGGTATGGCCTCTCCTGACACTCCATTCTCCATCCCCGTTACTTCTGCAAATGATCTTTGTTTTTCGATCACTGAAGGTCCAGACTGGTACTCCTTCAGTACTTCCCTCATCCGTGCTTTCGTTGGGATCTCCTCTCCATTTTTGGTTTGCTTAGTGCTCCTTCTTGACATGGACAGTAGTTCTCTATTGATGGAATTCGCTTCCCCCATTGAGAAAAACTTCGAAGAAAAAAAAACTCGATGATTGAACCCTAGCAAATCGAGAAATTTCGCACGCGTGAGAATACGCGCCTAACCCATCTTGTTCGGTTGTTATTTAAATCTCAGTTTTAGTGGTATAAGCTACGAGCACATTTTTTATGTAACGGAAATAAATACTTCTTGACCAAGGGAAATGAAATATGAAAAGAAATAATTACAAAAATAAAAATAATATAAATTGTACCCAAAAAAAAAATATAAATGAATTCGTTTTTATCATATTAAAAGATATACAGAGTACTAGATATTCTCGTAATATTAAAAATATTTTTCAAGTTTACATTTCAGCTTTAATATTTCTATGGCCCAAGATGTTGGCCGACCATGGAGACCATAATAATGCTAAACATAAAGAATTCACAATCCAACGGAAACCCCAGCCCAACAAATAAATGCCAAAAGATTGTGGGTTAGAAATATGCTGAGCTCATATTTGCAGTTCGAGAAAAATGGTTAGATTCATTGTGCAGGTTCCAAATGGAAAATTCTGCTGTCTATCCCAAAATTGTTTCTATTTGCTAAATCCCCAACTTTATTGGTTGGTTAGAGGAAAATTATATGCTACCTTCAACCTCTTCTAAATTACCCACCCAAACCAAAATTAATATAATCATAACAAAGAAAATGCCAATTGGTTAATTTTAACACAAAGCCACTGAATAATCACAAGCTAAATTGAAGTCATTAATCCATGGCTAAAATTAAATTGTGCCAATCTAATATTTATATACATGTATATGTATTTTAACCCGGCCTTATATATCCAATTTATTGGGTCAGTTACTAAAATCCATTAGAGAGGCTATATCCTTGAAGTAAAATAAATATTATCTCATTATATATGATCGCACTTTCTTACATGAGTTTCTCCCATATTAGGTGAGAATACTTCTCACACTCCTAGCGGGGCCTATAAGAGCATAAATAATCATGGCTCTTTCTCTCCAATTAAAGGAATCTTCTCTTAGTTATAAATATTTCATCATCTTCATAGAACAGCCACCTTTTGCACATTTATTTTCCTTATTATTGTTCTGGTGGATTATAGCCTTAGATCCACCTGACCCTTAAACTCTCTCCTTAATTCTGAGCTTATACATGAGACCCACTTATAGTTTAGTTTTCAACATAATTTAACTCCAATTAGATTGGAATTGTTTAAAGGGTTAATATCAAATAAAACAGTGCAAGATTTGATGCACTACCAAACTGAAAACAGTGTTTTTGGGGCATTTGGTGGTCATCTAACAGAGTCAAAAGCATAATTAGCTAATCTGCCATCCTATTGGCTTCCACATGTACACAGGGTCTCTTTCCTCCCTTCCAAGCCTCTTCTATTATTAACCAAGTGGTGGGGAAAACAAAACACTAGTTGTTTCATTTTATTGATTCAACATCTTCATGAACGCAAGTTATTGAACTCAACCATTAATTATTAGTATTTTTTTATAGTTTTAATTTAAAATATGCAATTTTGTTAAGTCTGACATGTAATTTGACTTTACTAAACTTTCGGATTTTGATCAAATAAATAAACATTGTAGTTTTAATATGGTTGGTGACGGCTTTAACCAAAACAGGTGTACAAGGACAATAATTTTATGAATTATAAATCCATGTGGCTGCTTAAGATAGAGGAAGCTTATGTACACTTAATTGGCTTCAAGCTCTATATAGATTTTATATATGGACATACTAAATTGGCCAGACAAAAACTAACAAAACTTCATCAACAACTCTCCTAGTAATGCATGGAACGTGGCCAATTTCAACTATTGACCAATGACAGATAAGATTGTTAATGCTTTTTGAAAGAAAGATGTGATCTCAAATCAACAAACAAATAGTTTGATAGATGGATCAATATAGTAACTTAACGAGGGATCGTTGACTTGCACAAACTTGTGACATGTAAGCATAATCTAACGTTGAGAAATTGGAATGTATTCACATGCAATGCTTCGTTGGCTTTTCTTTACTTAATCACAAATACAAGTCTTTCCTTGATTCAAACGCAAGCCCCCCCCTTGGCCCCCATCTACCCCTTTTTCTCTCTCATGATACCGTTGACTTTATTTATGATCTTCCATCACCCAAATAACCAATACTTCCCTAGCCTCTACCATCACAATGGATGACAAAACCCCTTCTTTAATCTCCTTGATTATTCCAAAACCAGCTACTACTATTTCAATTTCATCATCAAGAAGATGAACAACACAACTGATTCCTCTGGATTCCTTGGTTCCAATGACATCAATGGCTTTGGCTATGGCATAGGAATTTCAATTGGAATTCTCTTACTCATCACAACCATCACACTCACTTCCTACTTCTGCACAAGGACACAGGCTCCAACTGCTCCAGCTTCAAGGAGAAGCATCCCTATGTTCCTGGAACCACGACATTCAATAGTTGATGTTGGCCTAGATGAAGCAACAATTCTGAGTTATCCAAAGATGCTCTACCCTGAAGCCAAGCTCAGAAAATCTGATTCAACAGCAACATGTTGTTCCATATGTCTAGCAGATTACAAGGCTACTGATATGCTTAGGGTATTGCCTGATTGTGAGCATCTATTCCACCTCAAGTGCATAGACCCTTGGTTGAGGCTTCATCCTTCTTGTCCTGTCTGTAGAACTTCTCCAATCCCAACACCCCTCTCAACACCTCTGGCTGAAGTGGTTCCATTAGCAAGCAGGCGAGATTCTTAGGTAGTTTTTAATATGTTTTTGCATCATTAGTAGACTAAGGTTATCACAATTTCACAAAGTACTTTATTGGTTTATTCTATATTGTAAATTCTTCTCTTGTTTCCTGTGTCAAAAAAAATATTTGTTGAAATTTGACAAATCTTGGTTTATCTTGAGTAGAACATAGAATTGAATCGTGTTGTATACGGGTATGGGAGCTTGAGAACCTAGCTAGGATAGAAATCATTAAACCTTTTTGTCAGAAATAAGTATAAGTAATTAAGTCTCACGGCTCGCATAAGTTAAAAATAGACTAAGGATATATGAATTTAGTGTTTTAAGATTTTGAGTTGAGACGTGAAGTTTATAATTAGTCCTAGTTACATGCTTGTTTAACATGAAAATTAGCCACTTTCCCTAACTCCCAAATAGAAAAATAATAAGGGAAAATATATAGTCAAAATAAGAGATTTTCTTTTGCTTGCTGTAATCAGCTAGATATAGACATATAGTAAGTTTATTTGAATACAAGCATAACTCAACTTCAGCAGCCTCTAAATTTTGACCTTTGTCTTTTGTCCGTGGCCAGAGTATATGCAAACCAAAAGCCATTTCGGATCTTATATCGGAGCCATACAATTCTGAAGTTAATCATTATCTATTTTAACAATACAAAGAAAACATCAAATCAAAATGAATAGGAAACTAGCACTTGTATTGGAGCAACATAACCCTTATTTAACTCATGTATTAATAATGAAATTCCTGATCCTGAAGCAATGACTTCGTATTAAGCATAACCACAATCGAGTTGCATGAAACTTGTATACATAGAAAAATAGCGTATTGAAGCTTTGGAGAAAGAAAAGAAAAATAGAAACTGATGTATTGTAGTTCCAAAACATCCGATGCTCTTATTCTTATACATCATAGGTCTTCTCTTCACAATGTTAGCTTGCAACATTTTGTCTACTCTCTGCAACATAATCTTAAAACTATTTGGGATTATTAGAGTAGCTATATTGTATACTGGACAACTGTGTTTATAGTTACAGCTGTACCCAGGGTTATTTGTGTAAATAGCCAACACATTAGTTGGTAAACTGAAGGTGACGTGTAAGCTTGTAACAAACTTAGTTGTCCTATAAAGGGAACGCATGTGTACTGTTTTCAGATAATAGAATAATATGAACTATTCATTCTCTCTCATCTTCTCCTTCGTTCTCTCTTTTCTCCCTCTCTTTCTTCGCTCACTGATTTCTCTGACGGTATCAGAGCTCTCTTTCTGAGGGCCTGATACAGATCCTCTCACTCAATGTCTTCCGCTTCGCAACCACGTTGTTCGTCGGCTTCAGCCACCGGAACCATCGCTGGAAATGGATCAACAGAAAATCAAAATCGATTGTCTTCTCTGTCGTTGTTCACTCATCAAATTTCTGTTAAGCTAACAAAAAGTAATTTTCTCCTCTGGAATCAAGTTGTAGAGCCGGTAATCACTTCTCACCAACTTCATCACTTTCTTGTGAACCCTAAAATACCTCTTCAGTATGAATCAGAGCAAGCTCGTGTTGAAGAAGTCATTAATCCTCTGTATACTGAATGGCTTCGTCAAGATCAGATGCTCCTGTCATGGATCCTTTCTACTGTTTCAGAAGAAGTCTTGAATGAGATCCTTGGCGTTAACCATGCATACGAAGCTTGGGAGCAGATCCACAAGTTCTTTCAAGGAATGATGAGATCTAAGACTCATCAGCTCAGATCTGAACTTCGTACCATCAAGAAAGGTGGGAGATCTGTAGCTGAGTACCTTAGACGTGTAAAATCCATCTGTTATGAACTGAAAGCTGTTAAAAGTCCTATTTCTGTAGAAGAACAAACTGAGTTAATATTAGCTGGTCTTCCTTCTGATTTCAATGCATTCATAACCTCTGTTAGAGCTCGTGAAAATCAATACTCACTAAGTGATTTGAGAGTTGAACTCATTTCCTACGAAATGATGCTTGCAAGGCAAAATGAAACTCTTCTGTCAGAATCAATGTCTGTGAATGTAGTTCAGAAAACTCCTACTGATCAAAAGAAAGTCTCTAGGTCTGAGTTAACACCTACAAGACCTCAATTTGCTGCTATGCAAGCTAACCAGAATCAGAACATGTACAGTCAAAGGCCTTATGGTTCAAATAGTGAAAGAGGCAGAGGAAGGTTCTATGCTCGAAGCAATAGAGGAGGAAGAAGTTGTGGACATAGCAATGTCCAATGTCAACTTTGCTATAAGTTTGGACATGGAGTTCAGACCTGTTGGTATAGGTTTGATGAAAACTTTATACCTGAGTTCTCTCCACCTGAAGCTCCTCATTACTTTCGATCAACACAGTCTTCGTTTCAGAGATCCTATCAATACAACAGAAATCCTACATCAAACCAACCTCAAGCTCTGTTGACCACAAATCAACCTCCACAAGCCACTCAACAGCAATGTAATGTTGCTCAGGGTCAAGGACTTCTGCCAACCCCTTCGAACATTCAAACTATTGAGTGGTATCCAGACTCAGGTGCTTCTCACCATGTAAGTGCTAATCCTCAGAACTTGCTACAAAGCACACAATTGTCAGGTGCAGACCAAGTTTACATAGGGAATGGTCAAGGTTTGAAAGTGAATGATGCTGGTCACTCTTCTTTTCCCTCTCCTCTCAAACCACACACTCATTTACATCTCCATAACTTACTTCTTGTTCACTCTATCATTAAAAATCTCATTAGTGTAAGTCAATTTGCTCGAGATAATGGTGTCTATTTTGAATTTCACCCCTCTACCTGCTGTGTAAAATCTCAGGTATCACATGAAGTGTTGCTGAATGGTGCTTTGGGAACTGATGGCCTATACCGCTTTCAAGGAGTTGATATTTCCTTGAATTATGATAAACACTCAAGTCAACAGTGCTCACCTACTCCTGTTTTCAATTCTGTCTCCTTTAGTCCTAAGACTGTGTGTAGTAGCTCAGTTTCTTCTAGTACCTTACCCACTGATGTACTCACACAATGCACAGTCAATGAAGCTAGTAGTTCTGTAAAGTTTGTAGGATCAAACTATATGTACTCACTTTGGCATTGTAGATTGGGACACCCTCACACTGAGGCCCTCAATTATGTTCTCAAATCTTGTAATATTTCCTTTCCAAATAAAACAGATATTTCTTTTTGCTCAGCTTGTTGTTTGGGAAAAATACATCGTTTGCATTCTGCCCCATCCACCAAAGTGTATGCAAAACCTTTTGATCTTGTGTTTAGTGACCTATGGGGTCCAGCCCCTGTTAAATCTACAATGGGTTTCACTTATTACATATCCTTTGTGGATGCACACTCTCGATATACTTGGCTCTATCCCCTTAAACAGAAGTCCGAAGCCTTAACTGTTTTCAATCAATTTCAAACACTTGTGTCAAATTATTTTCAATCATCCATTAAAGCCCTTCAAACTGACTGGGGTGGAGAATTTAGGCCATTTCATCAGAAACTTAAGGATCTTGGTATCATACATAGAATTACTTGTCCTCACACTCACCATCAAAATGGTGTAGTTGAGAGAAAACATCGTCACATAGTTGAGACTGGTCTATCTCTCCTTGCTCATGCATCTTTACCTATAAAATTTTGGGATCATGCCTTCATCTCAGCTGTTTATCTCATCAACTGTTTACCCACTGCTGCACTAAATTTTGAGGTTCCTTTCATCAAATTGCATAACACAGTCCCTGATTATAAGTCCTTCAAAGTCTTTGGGTGTGCTTGCTTCCCTTTCCTACGCCCATACAACAGTCACAAGTTAGAGTTTAGAAGTAGTGAATGTCTTTTCCTTGGCTACTCTCCCACACATAAAGGCTATAAATGTCTCAACTCTTCAGGTAGACTCTTTATCTCTAAAGATGTGCTCTTCAATGAAACAAAGTTTCCCTATCCTATTTGGTTTGACTTACCCTCTTCCACTCCAATACATGACTCCTCTCCTTCTGTGTCCAATATCATTCCTTTGATGCCATCACCACCACAATTTACTTCCACTGAACATTCCTCATCACTGTCGTGTGCCACTAGTCCAAGTTCCTAAGCATCCAGCAGCACTTCCTCGACACCTGCCTGCAGCTCAGACCAACCAACATCCTCCTCTTCGACTACAAGTCCAGTTTCTTCTCCAGACACATCACGTTCCAGCCACAGCCATGCTTTTGAGCCAGTCTCACCTGCTGTCACATCAATTCAGGTTCTTCTGTTTCTATTTCTTTTAGTCCAACTTCTTCTTCTTCTTCTCCTCCCAGTTCTGGTTCAGAATATATTCCCTCAGGTTCCCTTACAAACTCCCTAACTCATCCCATCCTTACTCGTTCTAAAACAGCTTGCATACCTCAAATTTTTTCCACTTTTCTTGAGCCTAGCACAATCAAACAAGCCTTGGCCAATCCCGATTGGTTCTCTGCTATGCAAACTGAAATTGATGCGCTTCATGTCAACTCAACTTGGTCTTTAGTCTCTCTTCCTCCCAACAGAACTGTCATTGGTTGTAAGTGGGTTTTTTGAGTAAAAGAAAATCCAGATGGTTCCCTAAATAGATATAAGGCTAGGTTGGTGGCAAAAGGTTTTCACCAACAGGCTGGTTTTGACTACACTGAGACATTCTCTCCAGTTGTGAAACCCATCACAATTCGTACTGTTCTTACTATTTCCATTACCTATGGCTGGTCATTAAGACAGCTAGATGTCAACAATGCCTTCCTCAATGGCACTCTTAATGAGGAAGTTTATATGCAACAGCCTCCTGGCTTTGAATCTTCTAATCGGTCTCTTGTTCGCAGATTGCATAAGGCCCTTTATGGCCTCAAGCAGGCACCCCGAGCTTAGTTTGACAAGTTGAAATCCTCTCTACTTCATGTTGGCTTTACTGCTAGTAAGTGTGATCCCTCACTGTTTATCTACAAGACAACAGCTCACTGTGTGTTTCTCTTGGTCTATGTAGATGATATAATCATCAC